TAAAATGTTCTATCAGGTGCATCCCTAATGCATAATAATTTCATTCTCATGGTAGCGGCAGGGAAATAATTAACACACAACTCTAAAGTTGCAATGACATACAATATGAAGTAACTGAAGCACATTTAAATTCAACCAGTTCTAGCTTGCTGCACATGTGTCTCAGGGTCTGTTATACAATGCCAGCTTTTCCCTTTTAGAACATGCCCTCCTGTGCCAATTTGTCTACAGTCCAAGTAAAATTTGTAGATAATCCTAACTAATTACCCCAAAACCTCATTAGCCTAAGTCAATATTTTTATTAAAGTTATACACTTGTCTTTTTTAAACTTTTTTCTCAGTCACAATGAGGGCTACCTTTAGGAAATACCTGGTTGCCAGATAAAACAATTGGTCACAATTGACGTTCACGTGGCATTTGGTCATTTCTAGGGCTGCACCAGATAGACATTTTTGACATCCAGCCAGATTTCAGCTATGTCGGATAGTTGAAAGAACGATATCCGCATTATCCGGCTGAATACTGGATACTGTTGATATAAAGGTTTAGACTTTCATTTAAGATAAATAATTAGTTTAATTGATTATAAAATGAGGGTGTTTATAATACTTTGACTTGAAAAGATACTTGAAATCATAGGAAATAACTTCATTCTAAACATGGGTATTGCCAAAGTCTTGCCCACAAAGTTCAAAGGTCAAATCCAGTATCTGCCAATATACTGGATAGTAAGATTATCTCACTATCTGCCGATAGAGGGAGGGGGAAATTGCCCTGGGCCCCAACCTTAATAGGGCCCCAACTTGCATGAGAGCCTAAAATTGAGTATGTCCTTTAAATTGATGAGAGCATTTTTGAAATTGAGGGCCGCTTACAGTAGCTCCACATGCAGTCTAGCTAAGGTCTAGTCATGGGGCCCCCAGAGAAGATTTGCCCAGGGCTCTGCAAATTCTCTCGGCAGCCCTGAGCCTGGATATGATATCCGGTATATTTCAAACCTTTGTCCAAGCACAGGTAGATTCACTCAGTAAGAATGTCATTTTATCTGTTCCGTACGGCGGTACATTTTCAGAGGGCAATGTAAACAGCTCTTATATAGCAATAAAGACAGGTGCTTTGAGCTGACCTGCCTGAAAAGTCTCAAGTAAACATGGATGAAATTCTACTTGGTTGTTGGTAGAACACTATGTACAATGACCTCTGGTATCTGGGCTATCTCGGTTCCATATAAACACACAACTTGACCAGGGCCGTAGCTAGACCGATTGGGGGGGGGGGGTATATTCATATATTCGTGCTCTGCCCAGACGGATTTCTTTTGAAAGCGATTGTTTTTACGGTATGTGAACATGACTTTATTTATATGAATATACACCACCCAAATTATCGCGTCTAGCTACAGCCCTGAACTTGATTCATAAGTCATAAACATTTACTAATTATGGCATTATGCCATATTAGTGTCTGCATGGTACTTAGCATATTGGGATATTTCTTCAGGGCAATCAGGGGATCATAAATATATATAATTTTTGAGCTTGGAATTCCTCAGAGGCATATCTATGAGACACATGATGTTTGTGATGTTACTCTGAGTATATATCCACACCGAGCAAGCTTGAAAATATGCCTGGCCACGGTGGGAATCGAACCTACAACCTTTGGAATACTAGCCCAATGTAGGTACCAACACAGAAAAAATTATGAAAAACATATATCCTGGATGACTTTCTGTATTGGTGTAATGTACTCAGGTGAATATGATGCTTGTGATGTTGCTCTGAGTGTATATCCACACCGGGCAAGCTTGAAAAATATGCCTGGCCACGGTGGGAAGCGAACCTACGACCTTAATTGGAATACTAGCCCAATGCTCTGCCAACTGAGCTACGCGGTCAGGATATACACTCAGAGAAACATCACAAGCATCATAGTCACCTGAGTACATTACACCAACACAGAAAAAAGTCATGATCACTAGATTACATTGATATTGAAAGAACTAGATTCTGTTCCGAAATATCACATACCGGTACTCAAACCGACCTGACCACGTAGCTCAGTCGGCAGAGCATTGGGCTAGTATTCCAAAGGTCGTAGGTTCGATTCCCACCGTGGCCAGGCATATTTTTCAAGCTTGCCCGGTGTGGATATACACTCAGAGTAACATCACAAGCATCATATATCCTGAATGTATTCAGGGAATTCAGCAATATGTATATTTAGGGTTGTCTGGAATCTATTGATAGGCACAATATAAATATTAAACACAGAGGAGGAATTATTCTCCTCTCATACAAAGCCATAGAACTTGCTTTGGCGATTATATCAATATTAGCTAAATGAATCAATATTGATACCGCGTCAATACATTAAACTATATTTCATACCTTCTTGTAGCCTGTAGTATTCTAGTTTGTTGTCCTTACATTTACATCATGATTTCGACAGTTTGACTTGCTTGGAGCACATATTATGACAATATTTATTGCTTGGAATTATAATCTGTAAATACAAAGCAATATCACTAAGTTTTAATGTATTTTAGTAACAATATATTGTTGAACCCAATACAAAATAGTGAAAATACAAATGCGACCAACGGCACGGCGGTTAAAAATATACATGAATACAACTATTTATGGCACATATTTACACACGAAACTTCAAAATATTGACATAGTTTAACACTTACATTTAAGATTATTGTGTGGATCTTCAAAAATTGGAGTATTTCTTCATATTTTCGTAAATATTTTAAGAAAACTGGGCCATATAATATTTATCAACCAGCGTTATAAAATTTCCAAAGGACGCGCTCGAAATGTGTCCCGCTAAGCCTTCTGGGAGCCCATATATAAAGGCACTGATCTCAATCATGTGAACAATCCAGTGCAAATTAAACTGTATTGCGGTTTTTTGACAGAAACTTTTAATTCTAATTTCTATCTTCAAAATTCTAACTGTCTTATTATATCTTGTTTAAACGACAATAATCAAAGCATTTACGACGCAATATAAGCTCCACACCTAATTTTACGAATTTTAGTTATCACGGCTGTCTGACTGTACGTAGGAAATCTACCACTCTGGAGACTATTACGTATCCGACCCCGTAGAAATTTTGCTAGATTGGATATAAATAATTATGAAATAAACCAAGACGAATTCCACGTAAACTCCTAGGAGTACTATAAACTCAGTTTCAGGCCAATTAAATTCGATAAAATGACTCAGGGCCTCTTTTAACATATAGACTGCGGGAACATGTCCCCCCAGCCCTCCTAGTGGCCCCTCCAGTCAGCAATTTTGTCCCACCCCCAGTGCAAGGTCCCTAAGAACTATCTGCAGTAGGTGGTCAACCAGCAATTGTATATCAAAGTGAGAAAATGATGTTATAAGCTGTTAACATTTCTGAATTTGACCATCATCTGCAGGTCCGTAACTAGCTATGAGTCAACCGAGTCAGTTGCATGCCTCGGTAGGAATTTTGGGGACTGAAATTTAAACATCGCCAGAAACCTAAACCATGGCTGAAATAATTTGCTCGTGGAAAAAGGCATGAAATGGCATTTTAGGTTCTAGTTTAGTTTTTCCAAGCAAAGATACTCCAAATAGACCACTCTATCGTGCTCTTCAGTGACACTGAGAAGCGAATGCGTCGATATCAAGTACCCCAATACATGTAATACAGTACTGTAAAATTTGAAGTGTGGTGAATGATAATACTATGCCATGCACGCACATTTTCATTACCGCCATCATCACATCATGTTGCCTTATTGGGACTGGATTACATTTGGGAGATTGTAAAATTGCAGTAATTATGTCACTGTTTATAAAGTTAATTTCTTGTATGAACACTCCTCAAAATGCTGGAAATAGCCTATCTGAGATTCAAATTCTGGCGTATGTTTACACTTTACACTATCATGGTGTTATCACATACACCAGAATTAGCTAGGTACATTTACACCGTTTGAGGGTGTGTTTACAGCATAATAGGTGTTAATACTTCGTTTAATTTTCTACTTTAAACCAAATCAGTGTATCTTAAAATCGTCTAGTGTAATCGTCTTAGTGCTACACTAAGTAAGCATTCATAATTTTTACGTCACTCCGGTGTATATTTACACTATCATGGTGTTATCCCATACACAAGAATTGGGTAAATTTACACTTGTTAAGGGTAAATTTACACTGCAATAACAGTTAATACATTAGTTTCTACTTCACCTCAGCTCCGTGTATTTTAACGCGTTCTAGGTGTAATGATACACCAGGAAAAGTGTAAATTTACACTTCGCAAGTGTTGGTATACTTTACACCGAATAAGTGTATATTTACACTATCGCAAGGTGTAAATTAACAGGGAAAGAGGTAATATTACACCGTTCTAATGTAAATATACACCGAATTAGGTGTAAATAGGATATTTTCTACTTTACACCTAGTAAGTGTTACCGAGACACTAAGATAGTGTAAAGTTACACTGTGGAAGTGTAATGTTACACTCGAACGGTGTTTAATTCCGCGTTACACCTAATTAGTGTAATGTTACACCTTTTTGGTGTTGCCGCAACACCGCGAGATTTACAGTGTGCCATTTCGTGTTCTTGTATCTTTGATTAAAATCCCTTTCCTTACACCATGTAATGTTATATATTTTATTTATCTTATGCCGTATAAACTACATTTAACTTTACTTGATAACTCAACTATACTCAGTCCTTGTTCAACGTTCCTTCGACGTCCCATGTGCTCGCATGCATGAGTCATGTGATATCCTTACAATGGCTAACAAGTTTTTTACGAAAGCTGATTCTACTTTTTATTCCTACACATTCCGACAAATTTAGCATTTGATAGGAAAGGCTGTGATTTTGTTATGGAATGGCTGGAATCGTCTCCAGTCTATTCAAACGTGAATTGAAAGACATCCACACACTGATTTAGTATATATGCATAATTTCAGGTCTACGTGAAATCTGGTGGTAAGATGGGATTCCCAGTGTGGAGTCGTTTTGGAAACTATGGTGACAAATGGAATCAAGCGCAACTTCCTGTGAATAATCAAACGGCGTCATATCAGGTGAGCATGTATGGCTCAGTAAATACCAAATATAACCAAAATCAAAGAAAGCAGATATATAGAGGATATTACACGGCTGCGCAAAGAATGGTGAAAACAATATTTTACGAAAAACCGAGGGAGTAAGTAAAATAATGTTTTTTTCTTTTTTACGAGCAATATAAATGTAATATCTTCAAGCCACCGTGTGCAATTTTCTGTTCATTCTATAGTGCCATGAGCAAAATATTGTGAAATTTCGCGTTCAAAAGCAAATTGGAATAAGTCCCGTGATCGATATCTTCACTAGTGAAGATATGGAACATATCTCAATTTGTATTTATCGAATTCAGCATCTCACTGTCTACTTTAATATATAAGTGGGTATAGAATTAAAAATATCTGTACCTGCTTGTTCAATGGTTAAATATTTGTGAATTTGATCTACCAGTTAAGGCAAACGTACTTTTTACTTTCTTTGCAGTACGTGATCGAAGGTGTACGAGGTAGGGGTTTCAGGGGAGACATTGCGATTGATGATATCTCTCTCAGGGATTCATGTACTGCCGGAGGTAAATCATTTGAGTATTAATAATTATGTTGGCCGAATTGAAGGTTCAATATTTGACAAAATAAAGGAGAAAGTTTTTGCTATTTTTCTTTCTAGCTCATCATTTGTGCTGCCTATAGATAATAACGTTTCTTAACGATTTTAGGAAATGAACCTAGTAAACCGATGTCAGTAGATAATAACAGAAGTACAAAGGTGGCAACATTTGCATTCTCTACTAGACCTGCAGCTTTACCATCTCAAGGTACAGTGAAGGCTCCAGTGAAGCGTTGCAACGAACTAAACTTTATAGTGGAGTTGTCAAACTATAATCGCAACAAGTGCATCCGTGTGACACGAACGTAAGGTGTAATAAATGTATAAAATTTGCAATCCCATATTAATCAAAATTTTGATCTCAACAAGTCAAGACAAAATTCCATCACAACGTGAAAGAGCATCACAAAATTAGTAATATTGCAAAGTTTGGTAGCGAAATGTTGTAAAATGGGCGTACTATAACCTTGCGCGAAACTATTTACAGTTTTCAGTCATTTTGTATAATGAGCGGGAAACGGTTACCACTTTTACAAAATTTTGATCTCAACTAGTCAAACAAAAATTTCATCACAGCATGAAAGAGTATCACAAAATTAGTAATATTGCAAAGTTTCGTTGCTAAAAGTGCAGTCATTTTGTATTACGCACGGAAGTGGTAACCATTTCCCGTTTGTAATACAAAATGACTGAAAATTACAAACTTTGCAAGGCTATATTATTCGCATTTTACAACATTTCGCAACGAAACTTTGCAATATTACTAATTTTGTGATGCTCGTGATGCTCTTTTAAGCTGTGATATCGAATAATCATATTTGGATTCAACTTTAATTAATAAATCTTTTTTTTTTAGAGAAAGGAACAACAAAAAATGCTAGCAGAATCACTATAATAGCGACAACAATAGAAGCCGCCATATTTCTTTGCATCCTGGTTATAGTCTTATTGGTAAATTACAAACGATGGAAGCGAGCTTCAATATTATCACCTCATGTCAATACTGCATTTGAGTTAAATGAAACTTCACCAGTGACATTGACAGTTGATGAGGTAAATTAATGATCTGTGCCCATGGCGTTGCTGACAGGGTGAATGGTTACTACAGTACATATGGACATCTAGGAAGAACACTTCAGAACATTTTTGAACTCGTAGAGCTACCCAATATCAATAAAGTCAGTCTAGTTTTGTTTAGATTTAATTCTACAGTAGCTCTGGGCGCATAAAACATGGGCTTCACTAAACCTCTAGCAAAAACATTTAGCTGAACTGATAAGAGCTATCTAGTAGCCTATAAGTAAAGTTATACTTTAATAACTCCAGGTTTTCCTCCAGGTTTTCTCATCCATAAGAAACCCACTACCATATTTTTTTTGACAAGCACGTTTATTGTCTCGTGATACTGTACTTTGCTTGGGGTGAAAATCACACCCTGTGCAATCGTAAGTAAAACATAATATTTTTTTAAACAGGAGCAAGATTACGAAATTGTAACGAGAATTAATCAAGAGTTTAATGACGACGCCGTCACAAGTGCAAACAAGTCTGAGGGCACTTCAGCTGAAAGTCAGTAATATAATATTTGCTTGCTCATTATAACAAAAAATGTAATGTATATTCTTGGGCTTTATACGACGTCACAATAGTGACGGGTGGTCAACTCAGTTTTATATGAAGTCACAGAAGTGACGGTGGGTCAACTCTAAAACAAAACACGGTTATCAGAGTGAGTCGATTGCTCGTTTTGTGTATTAGCCTTGTTTTTGGTAGCAAATACATGGAATTTCGGATCATTTTCTCCCTCCGGTACAGCATAAGCATCAATACATTCGAGGTTGACCCCGTCAGCTTCACTTCCCGTCAGGCTCTATTTTACAAATACAGGCTGACACAAACCTTAATGCGAAACTGTAGAACGAAATAAAAGTTGAGAAGAGATCAGGGAGTTTGAATCTCTCGCTTCCTTTGACAACCAAATCTCATTGACTCTCGTGAACTCTCATCAATTACTCTTATCCACTTTCACTTGGTTCAAATTTTAAGTGCTGTTCGTGAGAAATTCTACTACGCTTGTTAAAATTTTGTCAACTCTGGAAAATGGTTAACTGGTTCACATTTTCAAGAAAGTTGACGAGAGTTCCGGCTACATGCTGAAATATCCGCTCAACTGTCATGCAATTATTGTTCTTACTGCAGACACTAACTGGCCTGCTCTCCTTGACTTTCTTGCTTGTTTGATTAGATTTAATTAATAATCTTTCTTTTCCAAAGGCGTAACATCACATTACGAAGATGTTGAAGTACAATCATGTTATGAAACGCAGGTCCAAAATGGAACTTATCCAGAAACAAAATCGTCGCAGGAAAATGCTGGTTATACAGTGCTTGATGTGAACAGACTGCGAGACAGAAATACAAGGGATGATGGTACTTATCAAAAACTAGTTAAACCGACCTCAAGTTACGTTATACCACAGGATGACAGAACAGAGCCGTGCGAGAACATGAAAATGGAAATAAATTTACCAGACTACACGGAGCTAGATCAAAGCAAAAGAAATGCTGAAAATTATCCTGCTTACCAAACGTTGCTAAAAACTTGAACATGTTGCAGTGTGAACATGAAGGAAATGGCTTCAAAAATTGAGTTTGTATTATTTGAAAAAAAAGTGATTTGTTTTAGCGAATATGTCTAGAAACGCCGTGAAGTCCGTCATCTTGTTTATATTTTCTACGTAATTAACTGCAGTTTTGGTGACATCATAACCATCGCAAAATTAGACCAGGGGGTGAGGGGGCGAAATTTATGAGAACATGTGGATTTGGTCAATTTGGGGGCGCTAAGTTTAAAAATCAATAGTAATACAGACTGTGGGAGGGGACTGCAGACTCGTTTTCGCGATTAAAGGCTTGTTTTGGCGCAAAACCGATATCTGCTCGATTGAAGCGAAAGCAATGGACAATTTGTTCAATCTGGCCACCTATGTCAGGTTTTGGGCTCTGATTTGAAAATTTAATCGTATTCGACAATAAACTCATTTTCAAGATTCAAAGCCTCGTTTTGGTGAAATATAGCGCTCTGTGCGTGATTGTAATAAACTAAGACAAAGACAAATTTGACTGACGAATAAGAGCAACATATACTCTCGGTTCTGTCGAGTGAAACGAGTCTTTTCTAAATTCTGTTCCGAAATGTCACATACTCGAACCGACCTGACCGCGTGGCTCAGTTGGCAGAGCATTGGGCTAGTATTCCAACAGTCGTAGGTTCGATTCCTACAGTGGACAGGCATATTTTTTAAGCTTGCCCGGTGTGGATATACACTCAGAGTAACATCACAAGCATCATATTCACTTGAGTACATCAATATGAAAATGGTTGTTCGTATCTCTAAGTCAAGCGTTAGGTAGTCATGAAAATATTTCGTGCACTTAAATTGGATAAGACCTCCTACCAATCCCCGTTGACTCGATAGCTCAATGGGTAGAGCGGCGGTCTACAGTAGATACCCGAAGATTCGAGGTCATGAGGATGGTTCTGAAATAGAATTAATTTTATACTGTTGTTTATAACATAAATAGCTAGAGAATGATATACTCAGCTTTTGTTTTACTATTCAATGTATTATACTGTAACCATCGCCCATATCCATATTGTTCTGTATATAATTGTCGCACTTTGCCTTTGGTGATAAACATGAAAATCAACAGAATCAACTTGTAGTATGTATGCGATAGCAGACGAATCATGCAGCCCTGACTCCGAGATCAGTCTGCTATGCTTCTCCGCAGCTCCAGGGGCGGGGGCGGCTGAGAGCAGTCTGCTATCACATGCAGACTAACGGCAGTGCGAAGATACAAATTTTACGTTCGAGAAAACAATTTTTTACGAACGAGCGCAGCGAGTCAGTAAAAATATTGTTGTCAGTTTCACCACGAAAAGATAAAATAATAATAAGATATTAATCTTCATGTCATCGTGTACATGTAATGTTCTTTTTATTATATGAATAGTCGTTAGTAAAAATAACAAAGAAAATGAACACATAATTCATTGATATCCTCACTAGTGAAGGTCTAGTTATGGAAAATATCTCACTGTCTATTTTTTTGGTGTCTCATTGTCTACTATGATAATAAATTAGGGTACGAATGCTTTTGTTTCGAATTAAGAATACAAACAATGGAGTACATGATATGAAATATTAAGGTATCTCTGCAAAAATATTTATTATAACATTTCAAAGTTGCGCGGAAACCATGCCAGGTCAGAGGGAAGATCATTAATCAGGTATGGACTAAAGCTGCTGCGTAAACTGCCATCTGTAAGCTTACGGTCTACCTCTGTCTGCTTCACGCCAGTTCCGGTCCTAATGTAACCAGTTACTGAAAAACCCTGATGGGGAGTGTGCTGTGCAATATCTGTAACTGTAATCTGCAACTCAAAATTACCACTAGGTGATGTGGAAACACAACCGACAAAAAGCTTACCGTCCATTCCGATCGCGCACGACCACAATGTCGGCCTACAGCTGCGGTAAACAATGGTTTGAGATAAAATTCCCCCATATGTGTAAATTCGTTTCAGACTCGCTTGCTACACAGCAAAAAAGGCTCGAACAATCAACGTGCAGTAGCAAATTCCAAAAAGATGCCGCCTATGACCTATTTTTTCAAAGTTGGGTGAAATACAATCTCATTTTCCTGAAAAGTAAAGAAAAATACATGGCTACCAAGGCGGAGTGATCTGCATGCGTGAAACACCATCGACGGATGCAATCTAATGCCCCCCCGAAAATTTTAAAAATTTGGGTCTCTGATATGGAATTTCCAGCGTTTCATTCCCACGATACGATTTATTCACGATTGCTGTACCTTGGATTCTGCAATCAGATAGCATTTACGCACCGGAAATAGGTGCAATTTATGGCATCAAGTGAGGTGTTGACAGCAAATTCACATAATAATAAACACCTACCCGCTCTACTGTATTCACAAGATTAATTTAATACTGACTAATTTCATAGTGTAAAATAGAAAAACTAAACGCAAAAACATTTCACAGGTTTCCAAAGTTTACATTGTTCTCCAGATTTACGTTTTTTTTTTATTAAACTCGTCAATCACAAGCTGGCATGCGTGAGATAAATAATACTGTGCGTTGAGCGTGAGAAAATATGCTGAGGCGTGTGTCACACGCATAATGCGTGAGACTTGGTAGTAAATATCCAACTCGAAGTTCAACTCGAACTCGAATCCAACTCGATGTTACCTAACTCACATCGAATACGGAAACGCACACTCAGTAGCTGCGCTTTTAAACGTCTTTGAGCTATATATATATATTTTTTTTTATATTATAATCTTGCTTACTATGTCTTCACTTTCTACCTTGAAATCAACACATTTAAACTGAATTCTGTAACGGCTCGTTTATATACCACTTTATATTTGAAGCTCGAATTTGAATATAATACAACCATGATACGCAGGCTAAGATGTAGCGCCCGCTACAATACAACCGCAGTCATGACTCATCGACATATATTCAAGCATTTTATCATCAAACGCGCGCTAGTAATGGTTTATCAATTCCTACAGTGTATATTATACTAGCATATTGTTTATTTGTCCGAAACGTTGCGGCTTCAGCACACTGCACACGCACTACTTCCTGCAGTTCAATCTTGAAAAGGATGGCAAAGGCAAATCGGATATTTTCATGTATGGAATTGAAAACAAATTATGCTAAATATTCAGTAATTACTAAACAGACTAAACATATAAAGTTTGTAAGTTCACTGCAACCAGGTATATCAATCATGTTTCGCTCGCTACTCTGGTTTAAATAAATAATTACAAAGCCCAGTCGAATTGTAATCAAGACCCAATGTTTCGACACTCCAGTCTAGTGTCTTCATTAGGGGTGATCTAAAACTGCGATTGTGGCTTCTTAAATATCCAAGGGGTGACGTCACCTGCCAAGAAGATGCATTGATATTTCTCTGACAAATAGGCGCCGTCATCCCTATTCAAAGCATGATGACTCATATTTATATGCTACGCTTCTAGGCACAGTCTTTGACCATAGTGATTGTTTGTGGTAATTACTTTAGAGTTTTCCCACGCAATCTCGTGTTTGGTGTAACATACATGTCCGGCTATTTTCCCTTGTCTAAAGTGGAACAGCCTTTTGATGTTCTTTTAGCCGTGTACCAAGCTGGCGTTTTTAATAGACTGACCCAAATACTCTTTGTCGCAGTCACCGCATGGTACAGAATATATAGCATGAGTCTTCTGATTTTTTTTCAACAGGATCTTTTGGCTTTGCCAAAATATGGCCTAGAGTCAAATAGGGTTTTAAGGCAACCTTAATATTACAACTAGGTTACCTTAAATGTAGTAAATGCTACCTAGCTTTAAGAAACACACGCCATGAACGTTTTAAAATACTGTTTGTAGTGATTGCAAATCAAAGATGTGTTATCGCATATACGAAATATACAAATACAAAATTTGAAGCGTAGCCTATACTGCGAAACGTATTAAAATACTATCTAAAATATAGTGAAATATAGCAGTATTAGACTTAATATGAAATCCGATAGTATTTGTCGTTTGTATTTGTACGCGCACTATAAAAACAGCAATTAATTCAACAGATTCCACTTGATATATTTTGACTGCAATTTTGGTGCGACAACACTGCAATTTGCAGCGACTTTTTCCATTTTACTGGCTTGTATTAAAACTGAGTTAAATTTTCAATACTTCACTCAAGTTTACAAGCAATACAAAGATTTTGTTCTAATTAGGTTGTTTACGGCTGTTTTCTGACAAGTGATTGGCTGTAGAAAAAATTCCCCGACTGTTCGTCGCCTGTTTGTGACGTTAGTGATTTTAATATGAGTTATGTCATGCGAGGGGCATTTCACTCCAAAAATCCCGTACACTTCGTCAAAAAATCCGGAAAAAATCCAGAAAAAATCCATCAAAATCCAAAAAATCCGTTGAATCCATCAAAATCCAAAAAATCCTTCAAAAATCCACAGAAATCCTTCAAAATCCTTAAAAAATCCGCAAATCCACAAAAAATATATAAAGTACTTGGTGTAGTTTACTCGTAAAGGTTCTTTGCCACGTTCAAAATGGCGGACAGCGAAAGCTAAACGCTTACCGTGATCGCTGTCATTATATTTCGTACTTATTGGACCACTCTACATTTCCATTTATACGCTCGAGTATACGCTAAGTTTTTTTAGCCTATTACTACTAAATATGTGTTCTTGTTACAATGACGTTATGTTGTAAAATATAATTACAAAACCATTGTCTATATAAAAAGTTTATATTCATCATTGTCTTTTACTGTTTTTGAAAGAATAATGAACTTGTTTGAATTTTAAACAAAATGACTGCATGCCCAGCCTTCGTTAGTTTCTGAAGGCTGTGGTTCTAGTCCCAGTCCTCCGCTCGACCCTGACGTCCTGGCATAACGTTGACGTTGTAGACGTCGTACAACTTAAGATTATTTGTTCAAAACGTTACCTAGCTCTATAACTCTATAATTTAAAAAAAAATCCAGAAAAAATCCGAACAAATCCGGAAAATCCAAACAAATCCGGAAAATCCAACAGATTTTCAAAAATCCAGAAAAAATCCGAATAAATCCGGAAAATCCCAACAAATCCGGAAAATCCAACAGATTTTCTCTTCAAAAATGCGCTAAAAAATCCGGGGAAAATCCGCTAAAAAATCCGCGGATTTTTAAAAATCCGAAAATCCCGTACGCTTTTTTGGAGTGAAGTGCCCCTCGATGTGATGCAAAATGGGTCTGAAACTTTCTGTATTCAACTACCACTCGCTCACAAAATAATTAACTGTATTTATAATTCTATTGTAGATTTATAACTGTGCAATATTGCTTTTAAAAACAGCGTGAAAGTGAAGAATTGTAAATATTTAATAGCACTGTAATTCAAATAGCCGCCCTGATAGCTTCGCGTTGCATGTTGGTAAACTAGACTTTCAACCAACATGCTTTGCGGCTCTAGCAAGATTGAGATTTTGAGTAGCTGTACAATTTTAGTCTGCTGCCTAGACTTGCTCCAAATCTGCCTCTTGGATGTTCCTAATTAAAGTAACTTGAGTTTTACTTTAGTTTTATAAAAGTAACTTGAGTTTTACTTGAAGTTTTATTAGTAGCAGGCAAGCCGAAAAGGAGCGAAAAAAAGCGGGCGGCGCGGGAAAGGAGCGAAAAAAAGCGGGCGGGAAAATGGCGGGCGGCGCGGGCGAGGCGGCGAGGAGGGAGGGGAGAGGCAGACTTGTTTCCCTTGCAGCGATTTGAATCTTGTTAAAAATTTGGCGCGAAAACTGATTGACATTCCACAGACAGATTCCGTGTCGGTTTCATTGTGTTTATTAATTTGCATATGGCGGACAAAGAAACGACACCGACAAAAGTTTATAGTCGCCTGGATATTTCACCTGCTTCAAAGAATAGAATTTGCGTTATATGCAGTTTATCTGTAGAGAACGCCGACGTTCGCAGGAGGCTGTTTTGTCCGTCATCACAAAACTGGCAAAAAACTAAAGCTTGTTTAAGTTTAGAGTTTCTACTCAGAGTAGAGCTTGATCGAAACTCTGTTTTAACGGATATTATTTGCCGAAAATGTTTCGATCGAAATGAGACTTTGGTCAAAAAGATTGTCAACGTCAGAGAAGGCTTTGAATGTTCGAAGAAGAAGCTATACAGTGAGAGATGTACCGCGTACACGAAACGTATGGGAAAGGATGATGCTGATGATGTATGGCCAACGGCTAGAAAATCCTTGTTTCAAGCCGACTGCGGAGTTAAAAATCCTTCGTGTCCTGCGATGACTTTATTAAAGACACGCCTCGTATCAACTGAAACCGTTTCAAGCAGTACGAAAGAGAAGGGATCTGAGTCTCTTTCAGTTTCGTCGGTTGAGGTAAGATATATTTATTTGGCTTTGTAGTCGATTTATGATTAAATA